ATCGGAAATAAACTTAGTATACCTTACACACTGTAGTGTGGATACGTGTTTAGACCCATTTCCTTTATAGAATCTTTGTATCTTCCTTCTGCGCATGTGCTTGAAATATCTTCTATTTCACATCAACTCATTTCGAAGCATTATGAGGATTCTTTCAACACAAAATTATTTCCGAGATAGAAATTAGGATTATTTTCAAATATCAAACAATAATACACACCAACAGGCTGCTTAATGAAATGATCATCTGACGCAACTTAGTCTTTGTATCGTAGCGCATGATAAGAACCGAAATTTTTTAGCGAATGACTGGGCCCCCAAATGCCCTGGTATGGCCGAGAGTGGGGTGGGCCCGCCCTCCCTCTCGAAATGCTCTCGCACGGCCACGCGTATACAGCTTCTGCCAGGGAAGTCCTACTCACTGCCTTCTCGTGGCGGGGGTGTTGTTTACGGAAGTGAGAGGACGAGAAGCGAATGACCGGCGCTTTAACCGGATCGCAAACCAATGGTGCACATGGGCTCCAGTATCCTGCGGGAACAAATGGCGTATGAACCAATCGTCGGTCACCGGCCAACATGGGAATGCATCACCTCACAATGCTCCACTGCCTTTTGGATCAGAACTTTAGGTCAAAGGCTCGGGGTGTGGCTCCCTAAGAAAACCACCTGCTTCGGCCTGGGCACCCGGCCAGTATCACAGCCCACACACAAATATGGTGTGGCGCATATGTATTTGGTGCCCTCTTGTACCAATATTTATGTGTTGAGGTGTAAGTAAGCGAATGGCTCAGTGTTATTTAAGAACGTAAGTTAATATTCAAAGAATGTAATATATGTTTAAGTGAGGTAAAGGTTAGAAATCCGTACAAGTAAATGAAAACCTCAAGCGGCAGCCTAAACCAGAATTTTTATTCGTTTTCATCTGGAATGAAGATGGTTAGTCATGTCCTATATTACAGTAATAAATGAGTGGCGAAATTATATACCTGCAAAGACCCCAACGATTTATAACCTAAACGCAACCAATGATGGATAATGCTAACATCAGGATGACTTTCATCAAATACACTGGACAAGAACTTGGTTGTAGCTGATTCAAAATCTGTAAATTGAATGTCTAAAAACAAAGAATGAGTAAGGAACACTATTTAAGTGTAAAATACATTATTCTTTAGTTTTGTTCATAATAAACCAAACTTTACAGTCAACATTGACTTGTAGTGGTCTTCAGAGATGTGTTGTTTAGAGACATAATTGTCACTCAAGTCTAAACTCAAATAAGCAACGTGTTCAGTAACTGATAGGTTAGATGAATATAGTACTACTGCTTCTCTTGGATTACCTGTATCTATTCTTATCAAACTTTAATGTGAAAGATGGGAAAAGCGCTATAAAAACTTGCTCACTGTATTTTGTGATTATCTTTACTTTCTGACTGTCCCCAATGTGTGTTCATTTTTTATCTGTATAATCATAATATTGTCACATTTTATGTGGTATACTGAATTCGTACTTAAGTAAAAATATAATGTGTCAATAAGCAAAGATGAATAGTGGCTAGCAGTAGAATCCAGGACGCGCGTTTCGACCTATTTAGATTTAGCTGAATTTACCTCCATCACAGAGTTGATGTTCACCCCGGGACTCGAACCCAGTACCGTTCGCTTCAAACGCCATCGCGTTCTCCACTTAGCTACGCAGATGACATAGTCCTGTTTGGTGAAGACGCTGACAAAATGCAGAATCTTCTGGTAGCACTGAGCAACAATGCCAGGATGTTTGGAATGCGCTTCTCTCCCTCTAAATGCAAGTTGTTGCTTCAGGACTGGTCTGCGTTAACACCTGAACTAAGGATAGGGAGTGAAGTGGTCGAACGCGTTGACAACTTCACTTATCTTGGAAGTCTGATCAGCCCTAATGGGTTGGTATCGGACGAAATCTCAGCACGGATTCGAAAAGCTCGTTTGGCTTTTGCCAGCTTACGTCACCTATGGCGAAGGCGAGATATCCGTCTATCAATAAAAGGACGAGTATACTGCGCGGCAGTCCGTTCTGTTTTACTTTACGGCAGCGAAACATGGCCATTAAGAGTAGAAGACACTCGTAAGCTATTAGTATTTGACCACAGATGCCTAAGAAATATTGCTGGCGTCTGCTGGGATAACCGGGTAAGTAATAGTGAGGTTAGACGCAGGGTATTAGGAAAGGATGGTAAATCAGTTGATGAGGTTATGAATCTTCATCGACTGAGATGGTTGGGCCACGTGTTACGTATGCCTGAACACCGATTACCACGACGTGCAATGCTATCCGGTATTGGAAATGGTTGGAAGAAAGTTAGGGGCGGCCAAACCAAAACGTGGCATCAGTGCTTGAAGTCACTAACTTGTAGTCTGAGCCATGTTGGTAGATGCAGACTACTTGGTTGGGGTCCGCGTGACTTTCGTAACCAATGGTTGGAGACTCTTGGTGACATGGCTCAGAATCGATCACAATGGCGTCGGTGTATACACTCCCTGTCTTCCCTTAAACTATGAGATTAAAATCGCTTCATATCTTTCTTTCTACGAACCAATTCTTTCTGCTTGTACTATATCTCTATATGCAATCTTTCTCACATATTACCACCTTTCACCTAACCACTGTTATGAATCTGGTGTTCATCTTGTTGTGTTGATGCGGTATGGCAACCTGGACCGATGCACATATGTGCCTGGTCCTACGTTGTAGCTGACTGACTGACTCTCCACTTAGCTACATCAACTTTGGGATGCACGTACATCCAGCTGATGAGTCCCAAATAGAACGAAACGGGCGTCCTGGATACCACTGCTAGTCATTAATCATTTCTGCTCAAAAAAGCTTGTGACTTAAAGCTATATCGAGGCAATCCGCATAGGATGCACATATGCCAACATGAGACTGATCAATTGCAGTCCTACATAACAATGGGAAGATACAATTAAAACAACACCAAGTGAATGTAATCTTAATTAAGGAAGATTAGTTCAGCGAATTCATTTTCAAAGCTGTACAATCACAAATATATATACTTATTTTTACAGGATGATAATAATACTGATAATAAACTTCTGTTAGGCATGAAGCAATCTGCAAGATATGGACCCAAGAGGGATCCCAATGCTATGCCGTCCCTTCTCTCTATAAATTACGTCGTTGAAAGTAAACTGTACATTGCAAGTGCAACGCAGTAGTAGTTTCTTCAAATAAACATCCGGTATTCCGATGTTAACCTCATTGTTATTTACGTACTTGTAGAAAACAATCAACTCAAAGCGACTATAGAAAAATTCACTTGTATAAAAAATACGTAGACGATATCTTTATCGTTTGGAACAACAATTATGACTTGAGTCATTTTCTGAAGACATTTAATAATTGCCACCCAAAAATAAAATCCACATTGGAAGTTGAAAACAAATAAAATATTCACTTTCTTGACGTGGGAATGACAAGAAAGGAAGATGGTACTCTAAAAAGATCTATCTACAGGAAACCCATGTGGAATGGCTAACTATCAAATTTCCACAGCTGAGTCCACATTCGTCGAAAAAAAACTTAATAATAACACTCAACAAGAATACGACGAATCTGTATTCACGAAGTCATAGATGAAGAACTGGGCCACTTGAAAGAGATACATATTAAAAACGGATATCCTTCGATATTCACTGATAAGAACATAAAGTCAAAAACACAGATAACTACAGTAGAAAAGAAAACTTTATACATGAACATCGAATTCAGGGATGACAGAGCCACACACACACCCTGAAAAGGAAAATTTCCGATTTTTTAAAAAGAACATTCCCCGTAACAACATTGCGAATAGTATTCTGTAGCCAATCATTGTTCATCAATAATCCTAATGATCGCATCTGACCAACTTAATGTGCATCTATCAATTTACCTGCTCATGTAGAGCTAAGTATATAGGTCGTCAGATGCACACTTTATCCAAAAGAATTCAAGAACATTGTCCGGCATGGCTAAAAAGAGGAGGAAGTGGCTCAATAAGAAGCTCAGTAATCGAACACCTTGTGAACACTGGTCACTCAATCAAGACAGACTGCGTTTAAAGTCATCTACGAGGTAAGTAGAAGTTCCCCCAAAACAATTAGACCGCCTCTTTTTTGCATTGCCGAAGCACTAGCCATACATCTGGAAAGACCAGGATTGTGTGTACAAAACCGACTGGTACAACCTCTCCTTCTACCATGGTCCTGATGTCTTATAATTTTTTTTCATTTTTAACTTTTTATTCTTGTTTTTATTAGTTTTCCTTTCTTTTCCTCTTTTTTCATACTCTTCTTCCTTTACAACTATCTGCTTCACCCTCCATCTTTTCCTTGAATTTTCTACCCCAAACTGGTTCATTTCGTCTCCAAGATCATCCTCATTACATTTGATCTCAATTTCAACATTTATCTTATCATGCTGAGCTATCCTTTTCTAATGATAATTTCCCTATCTATCCTTTGATGAATACTTAAGCCACTAACAATTATTAAACTTTCATTGTTTTTAAAAGAATTTTTTAATAACTTTGTTTATTTAACCCCATTGTTAACATGCCTAACAGAAGTTCATTACCAGTATTATTATCATCCTGTAAGAATAAGTATATATATTTGTGATTGTACAGCTTTGAAAATGAATTCGCGGAAAAGAGAACTCTCCGCCGAACTAATCTTTCTTAATCAATGTCTTAATGAATGTAATGTATCATTGATGATCAATCTTGTAGACTGATTTACAGCATCGAGTCTCTTTAGTTCCAGTGATATATTTTGACTTGAAAAAATTACAAAAGAATACAACATGAATTCGTATATGAAAATCTAAGAGATCTGTACAACTTTATTGCCTGTTTTTACGTTGCAACACGTTGTTTTTTAGCTGCAGTTCAAGATCGTAATGTCAATGAGAATTAACAAAAAGATTATTTGCTGAAAAAGAAGTTAAGATTTTGAATTATGTTATAAGAAGTAAGGAGTAATTCTTAGAGGAGGTTTGACTCTTTCTTCATCTGGTACAGCCTCAAAAAGTTTGGCGTCGAATTGTGTCGGACTTTGAAACTCCAAAATTGCTGCTATATTCCCGCAACGATAACAGTAATTTGGAGCTGACCAAATAGTGATTAGCCGTCCATCAAACATACACTTATAACCTTCATGAACAAGTTGATGAGCCCTACAAATGGACTCCAAACCATTTAACTCAACAAATTCATGAGTGACCTGAAAGTGATTTACAAAAGTGATAACGATAATAAGTGTTGAGTTTGATTTCTAAAAAACTTTATAACATTCGGAAAATGTAGTAAGTATTGGAAAGATTTATATAAATGTATACTTCTGAATTTAGAGCAGTTAGATTATTAGAAAATAAAATACAATCATTTTGTAACAAACTAAAATAACCATGTTCAGACTTTCATACAAAATGACTTAAATCAATTCAACATTACAGTAACAAAACAAGTAGTGTAGTGAAATTCATGAGTGTCCTCTAAACAAATTGCAACAAATCCAACTTGGAGACTTCCTGAAATAACCAAAATCTAACCAATACATTAGGCTAATATAAACCTGAGTTGCTTCTAATAATTAAATTAATTGAAGTATTATCCGGGTTATGACAAAAAAATTGCTTCAAAGGTTGGTCTTAACAAATTATTACTACCGCTTGATAGAAATAACAGAAATGTTTTCTGCCACAGCCTCAAAGTAACCAGTTTAACTAACATAGACACCTGGATTCCACGTTTGAAAGTTAGTTACTGTTTTAGAAAAGGAAATACAAACAAACTAAGCAAATTTCATGGTAGCCTGGGGGTCATTAACCATATTTTAGTGTAACTTGTTTACGACACAACTTTATACACTTGATCCTGAGCCATATTTTTTGTGATGATGAGTGATATACGATAAAAATTGCAACTACTACCAATCCTGTTCAATATAGTCACAAATATACTAATGAAAGTGGTTCCAACTCTCCAGAATAGTTTTCTAACTAGGAATGTAATAAATAACTAATAGAATGCAAATGATAGTCATAGTATTATAAAAATAATGAGAAAACTTGACGTCTGATATGAGCTATGCACCTTCCTTAATATAAAATAATACTCTGAGGCTAATCCGCACCAACATTTAATCAAGGTACAGAAAAAGACTTAGTTAAGAGTGTAGACCAATGCACTTGGGATGCTGTATTAACCTTGACAGGTTGAACGCCGACTAAATGTCGCTATTGAAGTATAAGACATCCCTACAACTTGTCAACCTATACTACTTATGGCATAGATGGGATATTTATCTATCTACCAAAAAGTGATCAGATCACAAAATAATGCTAAGGCTGCTTGTGTTTGTCGTAAGGATAAACATGATTTCGAATCACTGTTTGCATGTAGTGAGATGAGTTCTTGAACCTTTGCTGATTAAGATGCGAGGATTGTGATGTGGATGAAAAGTTACGGTCTACAATGGAATGTGTTATCGGTTGATGATGAAGATGAAAAATAAAACAAGAATGGACAAACCGGAAATGGAATTAGGCTATGGAGTTACTGACTATGTAGACTATACACGGAACTATCTGAACGATAGAACTAAGTTGTTAACTTGAGAATGAACGAAATGGCGTGGATATAGTTTATAAATATTACTCCATCTAAGGGTTACACTTTAAAAAGTTATGCATCAATTAGAAAAAAACATGGAAATATGTACTAGTACATCCAAATGTAAACTTTTACTTATGTCTGAGAAACTGAATACTCATACTTTTGGTCCAAATAAGTATCCGGCACCACGCGGACTGACAGCCCATTGGGCTACATCATCAGGATCTGACCATAAAATGTCACAAAAAGGACCTTCATGGGGTATTTCCATATGTCTGTCGATTGTTCGGATTTGATCAAGTGTTTTGATTTGAGGTGAAAGACCTCCATGAACGCAAAGGACTTTTTCCCCAACCAATGCAGCTATAGTAAGAAGATCGAAGACTTTGCAACAATAATGCCATGGATTTGCATTGCCATATTTATTGATACATTCATCATAGAAGCCATAGCACTTAAACAAAAACATGAATTCGAAAAGGCAGCTAATAAGGTAATACCTGGAATCATTATTAAATATTTCAACACGATGAATGATAATCTAAAGACACAGAGTTATTGGATTTCATTGAAATTCAGTTTACACTACTTTATGTGGGCAGTACAATTGTGGTTTATGCTACTTACATCGACAGATATGTAACACCAATCAGAAGTGGAAACCCTAACGGTAGAAGGCTAAGATCAGAAATAGAAAGGAATTGTGACTTGAAAGAATCATACAGAACGTGAAGGACAAATGATGGAGATTTGCAAATGAAGTATTCTATGTATGGTTCTCATACTTTACGAAGAAATTCTGTAATTTCGTACCAAAAGCAAATATCTACTGGTATTCAGTCTAAGAGAGCTAGTTCTGCCCTAGGACTCAATGCTATACCTATACCAACGAGGCCACGGGAAGCAGCATCAGGGTTTCTAGATACACGAAGAGTGAATCGAGATGGTTCACTATTTTGATATTGTGAGGTCAAATGAATGACACTACTCGAATCCAGTATACACGTTTGGGAGATGCAGTATACATCGACAGCACGAGATTCTAAAGTCCCAGCTAAAGAAGTCTGTTGTCCTATTTGGTACAGTGTTCGGACGTTAAAAGCTTGTACATGTAGTTTGGAGCGTGGTTCCAGGAGATCGGGAATAACGTTCCGCGTACTCGAATCGTTTGCATTAGTGGCGCGACGTGATAAAGGAACGTGAGAAGGGCTAGTCGTGGAGACAAGAATTATTAAGATGTGTAGGAAGGATTTGATTGTGGTCAACTTGATCTCGTGTACTGTTGCTGGTATGAGGACTGATGTCACTTCCCTGCTGCCCACACCGTGGAAGGGTATTTCTTGAGGAACCTGAAAAGGAAGTTGGACTACTGTTGGTCTTAACGACCTGGCAGTGTGACCGCAGAGCCCAAAAAGACAACTGCATGAGGACGGTCACGCATGGCCTTTTTATGGGAAGTTTTTAACGTGTTAGCTTCATTCTTCAATAGGCCTTACCGCCAGAGACGGAAATCCGTAAGGTAAGATGAGGTGTGATATTTTTAGGGTCAACCTTTTGTAGCCCCTTCTTTCCTTGTGAGAAGTCAGCATTGCCGCAGATGCTGGTTGTCCGAGGGAAAAGACTTATTGCTATCATTCCCCTACAGTCAGCAGTACGACTTCGCCCTCGGACATCAGGTTTTCTGCTTCTAGTCCTACCGTTCTGCAAGCGACTTGCCTAGCATGGTAGAACCTACAGTAATATATATTCTAGCCAGTATAGCTCGGTTGTACCATCATGATAGGCAAGTCCGATCGCCAGGTCAAGGTAGCAGCTACGGTTGGATGGATAAATTTTGGTTGAAGGGATTCGTCCTGGAGTATGAATTAAATAATCGCATCGTTTATTCATTAGGAATTAATAAAACTTAACTCATTTCTCACAGTAAGAGATAGACACAGAGAGAATCAGGTTCTTATGATTAAAGACCTACGAAAATAGTGACGGGCTGTAGTTTATAGACGAACTAATTAGGTAAAAGAAACAGGTCTTGAATCCCGGTGCGGAATTCATTCATCTACCTGGCGAAATATTGTTTTGGAATTATAGCTGATGTCAGTTCGTGATGAAAGCCTTAAATCTGATTCTTAACATTAACCATCAACTGTAATTCATATTTCTAACTCCTGATACTGGTTTATTAGTTGGACACTCTCAAGGTCACTTAAGTGTCACTCAAAAGTCTTTCATAAAGTGTAGTCTCGCCTAAATACTATTTTATGACTTCCTACCCAGAAACTAATGGTTTTCGAGAACGTCAGAAGTCAAATGTACACAGCCATACTGCTATGGCGACTTCAACGAATAGTGAGCTAATTAATCCTATACGTAAATCTTTCACGAGCCGGGTGACATCTCAATAAAGTTGCTTAGATTATGCCAGTGCTCGAAAGTTGTTTGACATAAGGAACTTAGTTTTCATTACTGCTGTCGAAACGAATGTAAAGAATCAAATAATCATTTAGAACCGATAAGGTTAACGGATTTTCACCTGTTGCTAAGATCACTACTGTTACAAATGATCTCACTAGGGCGCATATCCAACATAATCAATCGTGAAAATTATAAACGTAAAACTTTGGAAAATCGCTGATACTTAGGAACAAATAAAAACATATATACAAAACTTTCTGGACAAGCGGACAGACTTAGCATATTAGAAGGGACGAAGTATTAAGAAAGCCTAGTAAACAAGATTCTGCAAGCGTGGATTTTACCTGGGTAACTTGCCGACTTTCATGGTTTCCTCTCAGTAATGTTATTTGTGCGGGATACTTGGCTTTTAAAACAAGAAGGAATGTGAGAGTTTCAAGGCTGTAATAACCACGGTCAACGAAATCTCCCATGAAAATATAATTCCTGTCAGGTAGTTTGCCCCCTCTGCGAAATAACTGCAAAAGATCATAGAACTGTCCATGAATATCACCACATATGGTAACAGGGAAAGAAACAGGCTGTACATTGCACTCTTCGATCAGCAATTCACTAACATAGCTGCATAATTTTCTAAGCTCATTTTCTGGAAGGTATTTACAAGTTTTGACAGACTCTATCCACTGATCTAAGACCATTTCAAAAGTAGCTCCTCTGAAAGGACATCGCACACAATGTAACGCTGCAGTCAATATATGCACCTCCAATATCCAATATCTTTAGCACGTGATTGTAGTCCATATGAGACATGTTGCCCACCACACATACAACTCGGGTTATTACTCTCTAGAGGTGCTAGAATTGTAAATGATCTAGGAGTATGAGTACCCTATAATCTTACGCCCACCGTAAGTTGAAGCACATTTTTGACGGGTGATCTTATCCGCAACGCAACCATGTAAACTTAATGTATCGCACAGGGTCATCTGTGCGTTCAAGTAACCACAGATTTTGTCATTTCATAATGTATTTTTAATTAAATAACTAGATTCTGTAGCTAATTTCGCTCTTTTTTCAATTTTTATTCGCCACGTCCGGCTGCGTTACACTGGACGTCCATTGCACGTTAGGATGAAATCTCAAGTCACAGTGAGTTTATTCACAAAGTTGATTGTTTCCAGATAGATTGTCAGTGCATGATTTTACTGAAGAAAGGTTTGTTGTACTGCAAACTATGTTTTTATGAACAACTGCCTGTTGTCTTCAGTATCAAAGCAATATATATATATATATATATATATATATATATATATATATATCCTTTGTCTTCTGTTAGGTAAGTTCAACTGGCCTATATTTCGTGTTTTGGTTTTATCGTCATAATTATGTCCATTTAACTACTTTGAGCAACATGTCTGTGCAAATGGAACAATAATTATGACACCTGCTTAGTTTAGTATTCTTGGTTGTCACATAGTTCAGTTTGATTGAAAGGATTATGGTATTCTTAAGTAAAGTGCTTGAAGCCTGTAACGAAACAGATCAGTTTAGTAAGTGTAGTTGCCTGTTTCTAATGAATATACTGATTCAGATCAGTCTGATTGAAAAATAGGAAAAAAAGTGCCTTTGATGCTGTTGCTGTCATACATTATAAGATAGCGATAAGTATGTTTGTCGTTTATTTCTAGATTGTACATATGTCACTGACCATATTTCATGATCACTGTCATTAAACAATTTCCCCAGCAATTACATAGGTAGCAAGATAGCTAAGCGTCTGAGCTTTTAGTTGCCCGCAAAACAGCAGTATACAGTCTTAGAAGATAAGTGTTCTGTGTCTCAATTAAATGCAGCTGGCTGCGGACAAATATTAAGAATCTTTATGACAACTGGGACTTTTAGTTTATCAGACACTAACTCTGTTTGTATGTCTTCCTGTTAAACTAGACGCAGTTGCATGGTAATACTTAAATGGGAACAAAATAATAAAAGCATTGCGATACGGTACTAATCCCATCTTATGCTTTGCACAAGTAATAGTAACTGACCTTATATAATATTCATGAACTCAAGGTAAGTCACAAGTGCATAAATTCTTTGCTAAGAAACATGTAATTTGATTATTTGTCTATTTCACATTTCTGACTAAATTCATTACTATTTTCTCATTTAGAATGCAACAGGAGTGAGTTCACAGATCCTAAAAACTGTTTCGCCCTTAGAACTATGGCCCTGTAGCGGTAAATAAATCCCCTAACTATTTACCGCTACAGCCCTATGAAGCTGTTTACGGGAGACCCAACTAACAGCAGATTATAAAAAGGATGCTGAATGTCCATTTTAGTCTCACAACCACTTCCAGTATTTTTAGACTTACTTCTTTTACCCTTTCGTTTGAAAAAAAACAACAAAAACTGCAGCTCAAAACTACCAACACAACTTTTAAACGGAAACTTGGTTTAAACCTTTGTTTGATATTCGATTCTTAATAAAGTTTCTTGAAAAAAATTTTGAATCTAAAGCTACTTTGATTTATCTACTTAATCGTTGCAAGAAACTTGTGATAAGCGAGCCTCTCAGCACCTAGTTCATGTATTCAGATGGTTGTGGACTGAGTAGATGCTTTCGCTCAACAGGCTTCCGTTTCTAGTAGCAGGCGATCACCAAAACCTCCAGGCAGGAACCTAGGTATATTAACAATAAAAGAGGAAACAGAAATTGGTAAATCATAGTACGATACTGTCCTGAAGAAAAGATCCAGTTGCCTCTCAAAGGACACCTGGGAAGTCACTTGGACTAGCTAGGCGGTCAGCGAATTCCAGCATTTGACAACTCCTAAGGAGTAGAAGTTGTGTCTACAAAACATTCCCCTATGTTGTGTCTCCAGTTTCTGGGTGTTACCCCTTAGGTTAGTGTTGGAACTAAGCTTAAGTAGATGTCTGTGAGGATGTCCAGAAGTGTTAAGGATACTGTAAGCCATTAGGTCACCTCTAAGACGTCTATACTCTAATGGGTAGAGGTTAAGTGATTGGAGGCCCTCTTCATAAGGTGATTTGGTGCATATCTTCGTCATTTTCTTGGAAAACCTACAGACCCGGGTCCTTTCACAACTTATTCTAGCCACCATGAGTTGCCACAGCAGCTGATGGGTGGACACGCCTCACGCATCTTAACCGTCTCTGTGTCTAATCTCATAGCTTCTTATTCAACTGTCACATGATAAGCAAGTAATGCCTCTACCCACACTAATAGAACACGAGTAACTCAAAGGCACCCTGTGTGGTATCTTACATTGGTCTACTCACTCGCTTAGCTCTTTAAGGAGAATATTACTAGTCCTGCTAAAAATCCCGTGAACTCCCCTATGTCCATCAAAACAAATAAGTCTATATTTGCTGCATATAGCAATGTTATTTTTTAAAAGTAAAATATAACGGTTAGAATTGCAGTGAAATGGCAGTATACAGCAGATGCACGTGATACATGTCTTCATCGATTAACTGAAATAGAAAATACGGATATTAGCTTAACAGGCTTATTTAGAAAGACTTGTGTCTACTTTGAACTTACTGCGTGAGAAAGTTATACTGGAACTACGAATAAAGTAGGAATCTAGTATCCCAGGGCGTACGAAGCAATCAAACTGGAAGGCAGTTGTCCAAAAATATTTCGAATATGAGGGTGAGAATTTCCAGGTATTTTTCATCGTAAGGGTGAACATATTAAAAACCGGTTGACATCATACCGTAAAAAAACACAAATTCGCGAGTGGTGAAATATGACTTATAAAAAAAGTGAGCTCAATAACAGTTAATTACCTTTTTACTCCCTGATCATGACCCTTCGGCTTCCTTTTATGGCCGAAACAGCAAACATACACTGTACACTGATAGCAGATTTCCGGCTTTTCAATGTTAGGCTTGCTTTAACGCACTACGTAACGAGTACAACACCTCTATTACTGCTACATGACATATTTTTAATAACAAACCCTCTTCAATAGATTGGTAGTATCTGTGACTTCGTCTATGGTTGTCGGAAGTCTGGGTCCTTTCGAAAACAGTGCTAATATCAACTATTGCTGGGCACTCGGTATTAGTTTTGCGGGATAGTGTTGTCCATAATACTGAAGAAAATTAAAAACCGGAGATTGTTTCCTTTCACTTTGCCGATAGCATCATAAAGGACGTTTAGGAACGAACATGCGGACAGTTAGTCACAGGCAGCAGCAACAATTATTTTAGCTAGAGAAACGAACCCCGGCTTTGGATATCCAAAAAACAAGTCAAAACAAAACCGATTACCATTTTAAAACATAAGACTAGCCAGCTTGGCTGAAGAAATACATTGACTTGAGTAGCAGCAGCAAAAATCCAGAAAACAAAGCTAAATCAGAAGAAAATTTCGATCCAACATTTAGAAAATTACATTGACTTTTGCATTTTAGCACACTGAAACATTAAATTACATAGCCACCCAAAAGAAATAGCTGAAAGAAGCACAGAACGAAGAAAGCCGACCGCCATTGCCTACAAAGATGGCGGACATAATAATTCCCGCCTCATTCTGATTGGTTGCTAACCTGAAGGGCACATTTACAAAATTGGGTTGCGTTTAATTGCAGCCTGACTACACAAATTTCCACGTAATCTTTAACAGTTTTAGCTGCTCGTTAAGGGTAAAGAAATATAGCGTTTCTTCTACCATTCCAAAAGGATGATGAAACACTAGAATCTATCCAAAGGCAAGTCGCAAAATCAAAAGTGATCTGATGACTTAAGACATCTCAAACATTCCGGACTATATGTCAAACTAATAGCCAACATCTAATTCTATCCATCTTAATGTGACTTGGTAAAATATATTTATCATAAATCACAAAGAGTTTCATTTTGCACATGTCATGAATTAAATCAAACATTTTAAAACTATTACACGTACTTTACAACCAGCTGCTGACACCATTTTGATTTATCTTTCACTTTACCATTATCCTGAGGACTGGTATTATTCGCTTAGTAACCTACGGCGTGCGATGACAATACCCGATTTAACATCGAAACGACGGTAAATCGATTTTGGTGTGAGAGTAGTGTAGTCATATTTGTTATAAACTAGTCAACATTAAATTACGAGTAACTTCTGAGAACTATTAATGGACTAGTAATATATATATATATATATATATATATATATATATATATTCCTGTTGTATAGCTGTTCAGCGACTGCATTATTTATATCTATATTTCTCCTATCATAAGCATCATTTAGACCTATATATTATTATACGATTTACTGTTCTTAAGTTATGTTTAGCTTGTTGATTACAGTCTACGCTAGGCTGCTCATACCGGTCAAACGTCATTAGTTTAGCAGACTACTAGGATTGAATAAATTATGTTTCAATTGGCGAATAAATCACGTGATAACTAACTGGCCTTGAAATACACAACAGTGTTGGTTCCTAATCTAACAATCTTTGAAGCTGTATGTATAATTACTGAGATTTACATTCAACGTGTGACACTCAAGGAAGGTCGAGATAACAAACGTGGAAGTATTTGATCGGTATGGCATGACTTATCTTTGTAGGTGTGGTAATCCTTGTGACAAATCCATATTCACATTAAAATATATTATACTATCCCCAGCTCAAATGTGTTCTTCGAAAGTTTTAAACATCATACTGTTGTCT